TCTCGCTCCCCCGTAAAAGTAAAGTATATTACCCTTTCTGATGTCTCCTCAAACCAGGATACAATATCTTGTAGACTATCATCTCCTTTCCTATCCACTATTACAATGTCCACCCCTCCCCGGGTGCTAGGTCTTGTGAGCACAACCTAGAAATTCGCAATCGCGATAAATAGGCTAGGCTAGCTACTACCCTTACTACCATAGGGACAGTCAAAGAAGGTATAATGCTCTGATCTAAGAGTCTAAGAGAACCAAAACTGTTCAAAGATTGATGTCCTACAGCAGATAAAGTCCAGACTCAATGCGCTTTTGTCAACTCCTAGTTGGTTGAATTTAATCCCGAGAAGACTTTTTCTCCGGCTAAGCGTTTGCTATGCCTTTTTCTCTGGTTTTTATTTGACAGATGTTCTTGCAGTATTAGCGGTACTAAGACCATCGTGATATCACTGATCTATAAAATGTGTTGTGGTAACTCCTCGTTCGTGCCCTTCGATGACACCTACACTTCACTATCGACAGTTTGACTATACTAATCACCCAAGACATTTTTTAAACCCGCGAATAGCGAGAGAGTTGGACCTTTTCTGAGGGAGTTGGGGGAACCTACAACTGAAATCTGGTTTCGGGGGGCCCGGCAATGCTAGGGGGATACGGTTAGCTTCCAATGTCAAATGAATGAATAATGGATGAGAGCATCACACCTTCTCCAATAGAACATCCGTAGACCCTGAATGGGTGGCGTTGCTGCTGCAGCTCTCACGAGACATTTCGAATGATGGGCTGCGTTCAAAGTCTAGAAGATGGGGAAAAGCAAAGGAGACAAACGGAACAGAAGAGAAGAGGTTGAGACAATTAAAGGACTGTTACCTTGAACAAAACGTCCTTAATATTTATTGAGCTAAACAGATCATATTATTCAAGTCCTACGTCGTCAAGGACACAGGCTGCACGAGCGGCCGACTTTTCTTCTGTATATGGAACTGTAGATCATGAACTGAACCATCGTAATTTGTAATTTGTGTCTCAAGGTACAGCACGAGATATCTCCTTAAACCTGAAGACCTTGCATCTTTTTGGTGGCATCATCGGCGCCCTTCTGGGCCTTTCCCTTTGCCTTGGTGGATGTGCTATCCTTCGGAAGCTCCTTGGTGTAAGGAAGGAACTCAGGAGCACCGGGAATGTATTTCCGCAGGACCTCAGGGACCTCGATGCCCTAAATTATTGTTAGCTACTGTCAGAATCACCAATGAACTTTTGATACTTACATCTTCTTTCTGGTAGTTCTCAAGCACACAGCAGAGGGTACGCTCCGTTGCGCACAGAGTGGAGTTCAACGCGTGGACGTAAGTCTTCTTCAGATCAGTGGCCTTCTTCACGCCGTACCGGATCTCCAGAGCTCGGGACTGGTAGTCGGTACAGTTGGAGCAAGAGACGAGCTCCTTGTACTCCTGCTGGAATGGGAACCAGGCCTCCAAATCGTACTTCTTGGATGCCGCGTTGTTCAGGGCACCGGAGACAATAGCAACAATGTTGTAAGGGAGTTTTAGGGACTGGTAGAATTCTTCGGAAGTGCTGATCATGTCCTCAAACGCTTGCCATGAGTCCTCGGGCTTGGTGAGAACAAACTGCTCGATCTGCACGGGGTTAGAACGCAAGAATCCAGCGCATTCGGAGCTATGCTAACCTTTTCGAATTGGTGAACACGGAAGATACCCCAGGCATCTTTGCCGTGAGATCCAGCCTCCTTACGGTAGCATGTGCTGTAACCGGCATACCTATCTCACTTGTCAGTAAAACAACTTAGTCCTAAGTGACAACTAAGACAGACTTGATGGGAAGATCCTTGTCCTGGAGCCACTCGCTGTCGTGCAGGGCAGACAATGGTTGTTCGGAGGTAGCAATGAGGTACTTGTCGGTGGACTTATCCTCGCTCTCAGTGACCTTATACAACTCCTCGTCAAATTGCTCGAGCTGCGCAGTCTTCGCCATGAGATCCTTGAGCATGAACTGAGGGGGCTGGTTGGGCGTATAGCCCTTGTTGAAGAGGAACTCCAGACCATAGTTGATCAGAGCCAAGTTGAGGAAAAGACCGTATCCAGTCAAGCAGTATCCACGGTGACCGACAATCTTGACACCACGCTCTGGGTCATAGCCATCGAGACGAGTCAACACTTCGTGGTGGGAGAGGCAACCTGGCTTCTGCATTTCGGCGTTCTCGGGGGTCCATGACCTGATCAGCTGGTTGTCTGCCTGTAGCCAGAATTTCACTTGTTAGTCTAATGACGCATTAGATCCCCTAGCGGCTAAATAGTCCGTACCTCATCGTTGCTCACGGGCACGGATTCGTGGACGTAGTTTCCAATCGTGCGAATCTTTCGGTCGCGTTGAACCTCCTTGGCGACAGCGGTTTCCTCAAGCTCCTTCTTCTTTGTCTCGAGGTCTGCCTTTTGTGCAAGCAATTCGGATGCGTCTTCCTTGTTCTGAAAATGGATAAGCATCTATCTACACAAAGAACTAGCCTGGCCGGAAAATGCCTACCTTCTTCTTCATTCCAATTGCCTTCTGGACTCCATTGATCTGAGATCCCATCTGTGTGACCTCATACCGAGCTATACCTATCAGTAAGATCGCGCCAACCTCCGAAGAAAAGGATCCATACCGCGCCGTGCCTCTTCATAGAGCGCGACAACTTCATCAACGGTCTCCTCCGGAGCAAATCGCTTCTGCTGGCTCTCCTTGATCTTCTTGAGATCACCACCGCGCTCGGTCACAAAGTCGGCAAGGTCCAGCATATTGACTATTAGAATTCAAAGATTCAGGGGGATCCAAGTGGTAGAGGGGTGACTCAAATTGTGGAGGGGTAAAAGCGAGGAAAATCGAAGTGCGTGGGTACACGCACTTGGGCCTCGAGCGGTCGCATTACTTAATCCAAAAGGCGTTCCCCATGCGTACCTCCAAACGGGCTCTAGTTATGGCCACGGATGTTTCTATATATCAATCTGATCTACTCCGTGGTACTTCGTATACTTAAAGAAGCCTGTTTAAATTGAGATTCATTACTCTATGCATGGTACCGATCCATGTTCCCGAATTCGATCCTAAAACTCATTATTCATGTAATAACCCCAATGGTTCCACCAGAGAGACACAATAGAAATAAGGCCAAAAAGAAGAGGGCCCCAAGCAGAAGCCATCAAGTTGGTGTTATCAAATTGGCGTTGACGATCTCTGAGCCAATCATCGAGTCAGCAAACAAGACATCCGTAGATCTGAATTGAGTGGACATCAAAAGAGCAAGATATAGTGTTGTCAGCTCTAATGAAAGAGATATTTCATGTTTCTTGACTCAGAGATCCAGAGGTCCAGAGATGGCTTCGCTTACCATCTCCGGGGGAGAAACATACGCGTTCCAGTAGAAGTTCCACATTACATCAAAGCGCACTTGTTGTTCCCAGCTGGTTGTGATGGATTTTGAGACTTTTCAACCTCTCCTATCATGAGATCAAAGGCTTTCGCGACATTGAAATCAAGGAAAGCACTAGCCTCGGTGAAAGCACAGTTGAGCTCTTCCGCTAGTTGCCGTCCGTCGTCGAGGGTGACTTGGCGGTGATCGGGCTTAAGATCACTCTTGTTTCCTACTATAACAAGAGGTACATCATCCGCTCCCTAGAGGAAATATTAGATGCTGGTTCGTGAACTACTAGTCATAAGAAGGACGGTGACTGACGAGGTGGTTCAGGATCTTGTCGCGAATCACCCGCACCATGTCAAATGACTGGCGCGATGTCACTGAATAGACAATGACGTATCCATGAATTCCAATGAAATGCTTGGAGTTCAAGATGCTGTATTCGTCCTGTAGAGTAGTCTCAGTAACCAAGCAGCAATCTCGCACATGAGTCACCTACCTGTCCCGCAGTATCGACGATCTCAGTTGCATAATCCTGGCCATTGTGCTTGATAATCCGGCTGAATGTGTTCTCAATTGTAGGGTAATAGCTTTCCACGAAATGGTGCTCGACAAAGCGAACAGTGAGAGATGATTTGCCTTTTAAATGTAAGGGTTAGCTCTTCATAATTATTTCGGGCTATCAAATAGGCTCTTACCCACGGAGCGACTGCCAACGATTGCGATCTTTCTCTGCTTAGGCGCGGAAGGCATCTTGTGCAGTGCAGCAAGACTCAGCTAAACTACCAATGTGAATGGGAGATAATGATG